TCATTCCTTTTTCGTGCGAGGCAGAGCGCACACCTTACTTAATTATCTTAGAACAGTACAATGTCGAAACGCAGTGCTGCAGATAAAATTGGTTATTATCAAAAGAAAATCAAAAAACTAGAAGAACAAGAACGAAAGCGACATAAACGAGTCATTGTTTACTCCGATTCTTCTGAGGCCGAAGAAAATTTTGGTAAGTGTTACAGTTACGTAATTCAATTCTGGTGCCTGAGTGATCATTAACAATATAGTTTAAGACAAACAACCTTAGCGTTGATCGTGAATTAACACGAATACAAATTTACCCGGGGACTGGCCGAGAGTCAGTACGAAGGTATTCTAACCGGGGGGCTAGCCGAGAGTTAGCACGAAGGTTATATAAACTTAAATACTCATGTACAAATATATTAAAGCGTCAGTTTTAGGTTTTAAGTTGTTCATTTAGATTCTTATCAATAAATTTTTTTGTTATCTACCTCCGAAATATATATATTTTATTTCTTGTTGTAGATAACGAAGCTGAGGATAGTAATAAGGTCGTAAATGATGACACCATGGTAGCATCCATTCCCTCCGAGGAGCATCCTCTTTTGACAATTGAAGAAAAATCGGAAGAAACAATTACTACATTAGAACCTGAACTATTGTCAGCTTTGTGTGATACGGAAATTGATGAGCAAATATACGGTGAAAATATTCACCAGGATCTTGCCCACCGTTGGCTTCCTCTTCTACGTAAGGGTCTTACTAAGGAAACCAGACAAAACTTGTTAAAAGAATATTTAATTCCCGAAAACTGCAAGCTTTTGAGAGCACCTACGCTGAATCCCGAGATTGCAGCGGCACTTACCGACGCAGCCCGAAATAGGGACATGAAAATAGAGGTCGATCAGCAAATACTGGGTATAGGTATTACTGCTGTTAATAGAGCTATGTCTTTACTTCTCATCGGAGACAATAAAGTTCAGGCGATAAAAATTTTATCTGATGCTTGCCGTATATTATCCGACCTCCATCACTCTGAGACCCAAACAAGAATTAAATTGGTGACACCCGGATTAGACAAGTCTTTTTTTAAAGTCATTCATGAGAGTGAAAGAGATGAAACCCTTTTTGGCAATGAGCTTCCTGAAAAGATTAAGGCGTCAAAAGCCATCGAAAAACAAGGTCTTCAGATTAAGAAAACAGATCCAAAACCTTCCACGTCACAGATAAAAACAAGTTCGTCTTCAAGAAACAATCGTTACCAGGAAAACTGGAGAGGCCCTGCTCGCTCGCAGAACAAGGGGGGGGCGGGGAGGGCCAAGGAAGTTGTCATCGGGGATCCGCAGGGATCTACCCCCCTCAGGTGTATCCACAAACGAGGTCTTGGAACAACAACAAATCTCACCGTGCTCCAGTTCAGCAGTAAAACAGGTACATTCGGGAAGATTACAATATTTTTATGACTGTTGGCTTAAATTAACAAAAAATAAAATTATTTTAAGATGGATCCGGGATGGATTTACCATACCATTTAATAGACATATTACTCAGTGTAGATTACCTCATTCAACTTTGTCACCAAAAGATAAACAATACATCTCTGTAGCTATTAGTAATTTATTACACTTAGGAGCAATATCAAAGTGTCATCCATCAAAGAATCAGTTCATATCCTCAGTTTTCTTAGCACCAAAACCTAACGGAGACAAAAGATTTATTCTGAATTTAAAGTCTCTTAATAAGTTCATTGCAAAATCTCACTTTAAAATGGAGGATTACAGAACGGCCTCAAAGTTAATACCTCGTAATGGTTACATGGCTACCATTGACCTACGGGAGGCTTACTTACTAGTGTCTATTAAGTCGAGTCATCGCAAATTTTTAAGATTTGAATTTGAGGATGAAAATTTAGTTAAAACCCTATATGAGTTCAATGCTATGCCGTATGGCCTGTCCGTTGCTCCTAGAACATTTAGTAAGATAATGAAAGAGGTAATAACCAACTTAAGAAGCAGGGGATATAAGTCAGTCATATATCTTGACGACATTCTTTGTATAGGTAAAGACTACAATGAATGTTTAGACAATGTTAACGCGACTATGCATCTTTTACAATGCTTAGGATTTGTTATTAATTATAATAAGTCCTGTCTAGTCCCGAATATATCTCGCAAATATTTGGGATTTATTTTTGATTCCACGGAACTTTCTATAAGCCTACCCATAGATAAACAAAATCATATAGCTCACTTAGTACAAAGATTCTCTGTCTTAACTAGTTGTTCGATCAGAGATTTCGCTCATTTGATAGGTGTTCTCACGGCCGCTTGTCCTGCGGTAAAATATGGCTGGTTGTACACTAAACGACTAGAAAGACAAAAATACCTTGGGTTAAAAAATATAAGACGTATAATAAAAATATTCAACTTTCAAAAGATATCTTACCAGATTTGCAATGGTGGAAAAAAAAATGTATTTTTAACCAAAAATTCGTTTCGTTTAACTAAATTTAATTATGAGATATTTTCAGACGCGTGCTTGACAGGTTGGGGTGCTTGTTGTAATAATATTCGGGTTGGCGGAGGATGGAAATACAATGAACTCAACTATCATATCAATTACCTAGAGTTACTAGCCATATTTCTAGGTATTAAATGTTTTGTCAGGGATAACTTGGATTGTAATATTTTATTGCGCGTAGATAATACAACAGCTATAAGTTATATCAATCGAATGGGAGGAATCCAATTCCCCCATTTGAATGAGTTATCTCGATCAATATGGCAATGGTGCGAGAAGCGAAACATTTGGCTACACGCATCTTATATAAATAGTAAAGAAAATGTAGAAGCAGACCAAGAATCAAGGAAACTAAACCTAGATACAGAATGGGAGCTAAGTGATAACGCTTATAAAGAGATCATACAAAAATTGGGGGAACCAGAAATAGATCTTTTCGCTTCTCGCGCCAATGCAAAATGCACGAACTATGTTTCTTGGAGACCGGATCCAGATGCCCTATTAGTAGATGCTTTCACTATTGATTGGAGATACAAATATTTCTATGCGTTTCCACCTTTTTGTTTAATAATGAAATGTCTGGAAAAAATCATAAGCGATAAAGCCGAAGGTATTTTAGTCTTTCCTTATTGGCCATCCCAGCCTTGGTACCCAATGTTAAACAACTTACTCAGATCAGATATAATGTTCTTCAAACCTCACAGAGATCTCTTACGGTCTTCTTCCAGAACTCCGCATCACCTGCACAAACAACTTACCCTGGGTGCAGCGAGGCTCTTAGGGTCGCATTTATAAGAAGAGGTACACCATCACCCGCTCTTCACGTGATGATGGCATCCCTTTCAAAGAATACAATACTTCAGTATAGCGTCTCGTATAAGTTGTGGTGGCAATTTTGTCATAAAAATAATTTAGATCCTTACGCAAATTCTATACCGTCAATTTTGCTATTTTTATCGGAGGAATTTAATAATGGGGCTTCTTACGTTTCACTCAATAACAAAAGGTCGGCTTTATCATTACTTCTGGGAGACTGTGTAGGTTCTAAAGACCAAATAAAAAGATTCTTAAAGGGCGCATTCAAGTTAAGACCAGCCCTTCCAAAATATACTGGTACTTGGGACCCAAAAAATTGTCTTAAATCATATTGGAGGTTGGGTTCCCAATGATACACTTTCAATTGAAAAACTCACAAAAAAATTAGCAGTATTAATGGCATTATGCACAGCACACCGAGCTCAAACATTATCTTTAATAAAGATAGACAATATTAAGATATGTTCTTCAGATGTTAGAATCAGCATCACTGATATAATTAAAACGTCTGCAGCGGGACGTCAGCAACCCCTTTTAATTTTACCTTATTTTATTGAAAATAAAAATATTTGTCCAGCCACGGCAATAAAAGATTACTTAGAGATTACAAAAAAAATAAGACCCGCAGGTTGTCGGAACTTATTGCTAACCTACAGGCGGCCACACAAGGCGGCCACTGCTCAATCTATCAGTAGGTGGATTAAGAACGTATTAGCGGAGAGCGGCGTGGACGTGACTGTGTATAGTGCACACAGCACGCGCCATGCCGTCACCTCGGCTGCTAGGTCCGCTGGAATCTCTCTAGATACGATCAGAAAAACAGCCGGTTGGTCGTCAGCATCAGAGACCTTTGCAAAATTTTATCATCGCCAAATTATTGACGAAAATAAGTTTGCGAGAACTGTCCTCCTAAATAATTAAATTTGAATTTATTAAATAAGATAGAAAAGTTATGTTACGTTAAGTGTATGTTATTTTGTCAAGATTGAACTAATAAATGATATTTGATTTTTTATGATTTTTCTTTTAAAGTTCAAGGTACACATAAGTAACCCAATAAGCAAAACTTTAAGCTCTAAACATCTACGTTGTTAATATTATATCTGAAGAATGAAGCGATGAAATATATGATAGTGAAGTTCGATCAGTATTATATGAATCGCTTCATTCGAAGATATAATTTCCCTCCCACCCATAACCCACAAAAAGTTTTGCTTAGAATAATATCTCTAAAAGAATGAGGCTGTACGCTCGGACGGCGAGAGACGTTGGTGGGAGGGGGCAATTGTTTTTGATGTGGGTAGAGTAAAAATCTTTAAAGGTGCGACTTAGCCTTGTAGAATAAGGAAACTACGTTGTTAATATTATATCTTCGAATGAAGCGATTCATAAAATACTGATCGAACTTCACTTGGAGAAGTTCGTTTGATCATATATAATATAATATATCATAACATAATTATTACTTTTAATTATTTATTTATAACATTTATTTATAATATAATATAACGTAATTTATAATATACAAACTATCTTTGTTTAATTAAAATGTTAACCTTCAGACTTTTCCATTTTTATTATACATCTTTATATCTATCCGCTTTCACTATCCTCTAGCTCAGAGCTCTAACACTAGATTCCTTATAAGTAAAATTGTCAACATTTATACTACGACTAACCTTTAGACATCGGTGAGAGGTAATGGTAGTGCACACTAGCGCTACCTGCAGAGTTGCCCGTCAATGTAATGCTGTCAGGGTTGCCACCGAACATCATGATGTTGTTCTTCACCCATTGTAATGCCAATGACTGGTCCTTTAAACCAGCATTGCCTGGTATCACTTCATCTCCCGTGCTTAAAAACCCTGTTGAAGTAAAATTAATATTAGTATATAATTAGTAAGGTATAATTAGTAATGTCTTCTTTTCTGCCAGGGAGACCGTCTGGGTAGATGCCACACACTTACCTATTTCTGCCGCCAAATACGAGCGCGACACTGAAAGTTTTTAGAACTGGCCACTTGTAAACTATATAAAAAAAATAAGTTCAAATTTTATTTTATTTTTTATTAACTTGTCATTTGTTTATAATTTTGCGGCAAATTGAAAATTAAACAAATCGACATAATTCAATTAACGACAGAAAAAGCTTCTATACAAGCCCCAATATCTCCAAACTTCTACATTATTTTGACGTAAAATTCATACCAAAATAACCATCAACATTTGCTTAAACTATGCCGTAATTTATACTTTTAAATCGTTACTATTATTTTGTAATTAAGTAAATAAATGTACCATGTATTTCACTGCGCTGACCACCTGAATTTAATGCCGCGCGAGCGGTTCTCTCGGTCGGACATGTGTCACTTTATTTCGCGCGCTCCGTCTCGTTTCGATATTATCGTAATGTGCGCGATTGGTGTGGCGCTGCTATTTTGTGCTAGAGCATCGTCAACTACGCCCGCAGTTTTTAATCGTTGGAAGTATTTACTTTCGTTCAGTATATTTCAATTAGTATAAAGTTCGCACATTATTATTATACCAAATAGTCAATAATAATAATACTAATTTATTTTATTTTGAAAAACTGTACAAATTATTCCAATAAGTCTTATCTTAAAAATAGTCTACAATAACAGGCACCTGAACTAGGATAAACCTGTATCTCAGACGTATGTGCTAAAAGATACATTAACAAATATTTTCTGTTTCTTATATGAAATGAATAACGTACTAATAAGGGTTATTTGGGTAAAATATATTATCATTAATTTACTTATGATATTAATTAACTTAAAAAAATCAGCAACTTCTCCGTATCATCGTATGACAAATTTTGTAACCATGTTCGAATTACCTTTTTATAGTCTGCCATTTTTATTGGATATATGTACAAAATTGCATTGACTTGATTATACAAAAAAGTGCCTATGAATGTAAAAAATCTATGCATGAAATAATGCCTTATTCTAATGTTAGTTTCAATTACTTTATCTTTGCGTCTTTTATCAGTGACCTCTCTTCTGTAGGGCAATTTTAAGTGCTGTTTTAATAACGTACTCATAACGAATAACTGGCGCACTAAGAGGACATTATAGGATTTGTATAAGAGATAGGATGGAAATAGAATAGGGCGGAATGTTGCAACTTTTAATACAGCTATTTGAGCGCCTTCCAATGGTAGCAGTGCAGTTTTAGCTGCTCCACCCCATGAGGTTATACAATAGCTAAGTATTGACTGACATAATGCGTAATATACTTGTTTTACTACCTTAATATCAGCAAAAGAACGATTTTTTTTTCAACAAACATTAGTTTACGAACTCTATTGCTTAGGTGGTTTATGTGGTTTTTAAATGTAAACGTAGAATCTATAATTATTCCTAGGTACTTAATAGTTTTTGTATTAGAAATAACTGGGCAGTAACATTTAGACTCTGTGACTGAGTAACATTGATGTGCATAAATATCTGGAATGGTTATACGCTGGGTTGAGCTGCGAATAGAAAAATGAATATATTTGGTTTTGTCCGTATTCAGTGTTAATAAGTTTTGTTGGAGCCATTTATTAACTCTATCAAAATCTTGCTGAGCATATAAATTAACCTTGTCAACTGTATTTGGGTAAAAAAGTAGCACAGTATCATCTGCTTAAGATATTATTTTACCTGAGTTAAGTTCAAGATTGCAAAGGTCATTTATATAAATCAAAAATAGGGTTGGCCCTAATACACTTCCTTGAGGCACGCCAAAATGAATATTTTTTTGTTCAGAGCTAACAACCTTATCGATTTTTATGCATTGATATCGATTTTCTAAATAATTCTCAAAAAGTTGAAGCTGCTTACCTCGAATACCTATGCTCTCTAAGTTACTTAATAGGATAGGAATAGAAACCGTATCAAATGCTTTTGCAAGGTCAAGGAAAATGCCAATTGATTGGATGCCTTTATCTAATTCTTGAGAGACGTAATCGGTCATTTCCTGCACTGCATCAGCAGTGGACAGTCTAGGCCTGAAACCATATTGCATATTCGATAATATGGATTTACTTTGTAAATAATTAATTAATCTGTTGTTAATTATTTTTTCTAATATTTTAGACGTGGATGAGAGTATTGAGATAGGCCGATAATTGGAAACGTTTTTTTTGTCCCCCGATTTGAATACTAGAACTACAATTGCTTTTTTTAAACAATCTGGGAAAATTCCTTCAGAGAGACAAATTCTGAAAATATGGGTTAGTGGTGGTATTAGAATTTGTCTATATTTTTTTAATATACTAATAAATAAATAATGGGTATGCCGTCCCATCCAACCGCGCTTGTTTCTTTCAGTCCCATTATAATCCTTTCCACCTCACTAGTCTCCGTATCTAATAACGTAAACGAGCTTAATTGGCAGTTTTTTTGAGTTAAGAAAGTGGCCCTGTATTCACGATTATTGTTAGAATTGTTTGTTATCTTCTCAGCCAGATTTTTACCAACGTTCACAAAGTAATTATTTGCTGTATTTGCTGATATAAGCGGCGAGGAATTATTTTGTAATAATTCTGACGAAGATTCATGCCGTTTGGAAATAAATGCAATATCTTTTACATGCCGCCAAATCTTTTTATTATCTCTGCCAGACTCTTCTAGTAAGTTTGTAAGATAATTATACTTCAACTTTTTTAATAAATTGTTACAAAAATTCCTGTATATTGTATATGAAATTTGTATAACGGTATTATCTGAAGAGGACTTTGCCATCAGGTGTATTTTGTCCCTGTGTTTCATGCACCTAATCAGGCCAGGTGTAATCCAAGGCTTTAAGTTATTATTTTTTTAGCTACTGTTCTATACTAAGTATTGCTAGCAATGGCATTTCATATGTTATTTATTAAGTAAGGCAAAGAAATGTTTACGTCATCGGTTTTATAAACTGGGCTATAGTCAATGTTTTGAATTGCTTGTTCAAAGTTTTTCATATTAGTTTTAGTAATAGAGTACTTACAATTAGATTTTGATATTTTAAGGCTTAAGTTAAGAATGACGGCACTATGATCAGTTACTATAGGACTGGTGACAAGGATTATAGATGGTAACCTAGTTTTTAGTTAAGTGTGGTGTAAACAAGAACCACTTAGACGTGTGGGCAGCAAATGTGCTGGGAGCAAGCCCTGGCATGCACATATATTAAGGTAGTCTTTTGCTCCGCTTTCACTGCCTTCTGGGTTAATATCAATATTCATATCACCCGGTAACACTATATTTTTGAACGATGACAGTTTCCCAAGTGTAATGTCTAATGACGTGATAATATTGTTTATTTGTTTAAAACCACAAGGTCTATAAACAGCAAGAATAGCAGTTTCATGACCCGCTTCACCAATAACCTGCTACAATCTAGCATATTAGGTTCCTCGACTGATATGTTCGTATTTTTTTTTCACAAAGACTACTACACCGTCATTTTGGTTATATACGTTTTTACTACTAAAAGTATTGTATCCTGGCAGTAATGGGAGGTTGCTTTGGCTTTTAGATAGCCAACATTCTGTTAGTATGATAATGTGCAGTCAGTGTCCAATCTTCGAAGGAGGATATGGAAATTATCCATGTTTTTATTTATACTACGAATTTTCTGTGTTAAAATAGTAAGAGAGTTCGCAGGTTTAAAAATTGCACACATCAATTTCACATGTTTTTGCCACTGATAAACTGACAGCATCGATTTAATTACTTAACTTATCCATATTATTCAACAGAAATAATAACTATATATATATATATATATATATATATATATATATATATATATATATATATATATACTAATATATATATATATATATATATATATATATATATATATATATATATGTAAACTTATTAGTAACTTATAAATTAGGGCAAAAAGGATTAAGGTAAAAGGTGGCGCTCTTAGGCGCCCTCATTACAATCTATGGAATTAATATACTTATTGAAATAATACTAGTTTTTACGGAATTTATCGCGTATATTTAACTTTTTAATACCCGACGTTTCGAACGCTTTACAGCACTCATGGTCACGGGCGGGACTGAGATGTTCAACGTCCATATGTATATTTAGCAGATCCTGCAAGATGCAGGAGTGTACAAGCTTGATTGTAAATGTGGTCTCTCCTACATAGGACAAACTAAAAGATCAATAAAAACCCGCGTTAAAGAACATATAGCTAATATGAAGAATCGACGCTCCGGGAAGTCTGCAGTCTGTGAACACGTACAGGATCGCCCCCGTCACTACATCAGATTTGATAGACCGCAAATCCTCGCTAAAGAACACCGATTCCTTTCAAGAATGATTCGCGAGGCTATTGAAATCAAAAAACATCCTAATTTCAATAGAGAGGATGGCTGGGTGCTACCATCTGCTTGGGATCCTATAATAAATAAAATTAAATCCCAACCCAAGCATACAACTGCAAGACTTCAAGATACCATAAGTTCATACTGCATAGATCGGAACAAAAGTTAAATTTTAATCTATGGTAACCGCGGTTAACTATGACATATGGACGTTGAACATCTCAGTCCCGCCCGTGACCATGAGTGCTGTAAAGCGTTCGAAACGTCGGGTATTAAAAAGTTAAATATACGCGATAAATTCCGTAAAAACTAGTATTATTTCAATGTGTAGTGTTCGCGTAAATATAAGAAATCATTAATATACTTATTTTCAGCCATCTTCCTAGCCGGGCATTCGGGGTCACCTGTTTTATGGTCGCTCGGTTTTTTAAAACGCAGGCATGTTGCACACTTTGCTGGATCAGTTTTCTTAATGTAAGCATTTGACTGATGTCCTAATTCACCACAATGTCCACCACGTGTCGATAGTTTCCCGGCAAGTTCTTGCAGCGTGTCCATACTGTTGGCATTTGAAGCACCTGGTCACAAGTGTGAAGTCTCGAACTGGGCACGACGTCCAATTTATGAAAACTCGCTCCTGGTTGATAAGTTCTTTCTGATGCCGACTGGCACTTCTAAAATAAAATTGCATGACAGGCCCCGGCAAAAAGATTCCCTCGTTAAGTTAGGGATCTTATCGGCTAAATTTTGTTCAAAAATGCAGTCAAAGACTTCTCGTTCGTTAAGGGTGGTAGGTATTCCTACGACTATAATCCTTGGTCTTCTTTTATGGGGCTCTTCCACCTTTAGTCCGGAACTACTAAGCTGGGTAGATTTTTTTAACTTCTCAATGTCCTCCTTTGAATCAGTGTTGATAATAACGCCTCCATTTTTCGTAGTCCTCTTACGTGTAGTTTCAATTGTTCGGGGCATAAAATTTTCTGGACAAGAGATTTTGTGACTTCACTTGTTTTTAATTTATTCTCAGGGTAAATTGCTACGGAACTGAATGTATTGGGGCGCAAGTAATTATTTTTGGTTGTTTTGACCATATCAGCAAAGGACATTTTTTCTCTAGTTGGTTTGGCACAGCTTTCTTGAATTGTTTCCTTGAGTGATTTTCTAAAATCGTTTAGGCATTCCATTAGGTCTTGTTTTTCTCTCAGTGCTTCAAGAGAGGTGTACATTAAAATAGCTTTTTGTTGCAAAGATTGGTAGTAAACTACCATCTGAGAGGCATTTATTTCACTGGTGGCTAAAAATTCGATGGGGTCTGCAGCATCCTGTTGTGGTGGTTGAGGCGTGCTGGGTGGACTCCGAGATATAAAAAAAATTATAAAAAAAAATAATAATGAAAAATGCTCCGATTGAAAGGACTATTTTCGTATGTATTGGACATGTTTTATATCAAATGTTTTTTATTATAATTTGTTATTCGTGAAATCACAACACAACAGAAATTGTCCAGTGGTTTATCTAGGTCACAGTTTTATTGAAAATATTTAAACACTTGTATTGCTCGTAAGCACGACTGCTCGATTCGAGCTCCGTAAGCGTATATCCAACTCATTATAGTTATTTTGATTGTAGCTGAGCTTTTTTACCAGTTGGAATGAGTAAAAATAAATACAAGTATCAATGTGTTACTAAACGTTAAAAAAGAAATATCCTATCTCTAGAGAAATAATAATGGAGAATAAAAAGCTCTGCATGCTTGCCATATGGACTGGCCTAGACTATGTAGTAAAAGTTTAGTACTTTTACTACATAATCTAGGCCAGTCCATATGTCCATATAAACCTACAAAGATAACAAATTTTGGATTATGATTATGTTAATCAAGTTACAAGCGTTTTATAAAAAGTGTGTATTGCCTGAAATTATTGACTCGAGATAAGCTCGGTCAATGCCATTGCGGCAAATATTTTTGTAATAAAAAAATATGTTAATTGATTGTACTCTTAAGTAGCGATTAAAAAATATTAGTTACAGTTGGTTATTTTAGTTATTAAAACAGATTACAACCGTACTATTTATTTATTTATACCAGTATGCTACCGTTAGTAGATATAATCGATTATTAACCAACATCGGTTAACAATCGATTACTGCCAAACAATCAATTCTACGACTAAGAATCGGTTCATAAATAATGAAAAATATTCATAAATAATGAATAAATATTGAATGAATAGAAATATGAAATAAAGTATCGCTCGGGTAGGTCTTCGCCAGCTCGCCAGCCAAAATGTAAACACGTTTACCTAAAAATTCAACTTTTTTTTAAAGTATAAGACGACTTAAAAAGAATAAAATAATTTCCAATGTTGATCCTCATACGTAGTGATCAGAGGCTACTTTTCTCAGAAATATGGGTGTACCTCGGGAGTACCTCAGGGATCCATATTAGGACCCTTATTATTTAATATTTTCGTAAATGATGTAACTAATTGTGTACATAATTTAAAATGTTTCATCTTTGCGGACGATCTGAAACTCGCAAAAGCAATTCTAAACGATCATGATGCACAATCTCTACAAGAAGATGTCGATAGAATTGCTCGTTGGAGCAAGTTAAATGGCATGGATCTCAACGCTTCTAAATGTTCAGTAAGCATACTGCATCAGAAACCCAATACACGTTGAACAATAATCCACTTCAGAAGCTTGAATCCATCCGAGACTTAGGAATTACAATTGATGCTAAATTAAGATTTAATATTCACATTGAAAATATTTGTAGATCGGAACGCAAAATGCTCGGGTTTTTATACAGGAATTCAAAATGTTTTAAAAAAAATCAAAACAAAAAAACTTCTTTACACTTAGAAGTAATTTAGAGTACGGCACCATCATATGGAGCCCTAATTATCAAATAAAAGACACAAAGATCGTATAGAAAGCATTCAAAGACGATTCATCAATATTGTTCTAGTAGTAATCATATGGAATCCTATTCCACTCGTCTCCTAAAACTAAAATTAAACTCACTATCGGACAGACGTCAACTACATGATTTAGTTTTTTTTTACAAGCTTACAAATGGGACTATAAATTCTGCAGAATTACTATCACAAATATTGTTCAAAGTTCCCTGCCGTATACCGCGTTTTTCGATTCACTTACTGAAACACAAATTGTATAAAACTAATCTTGGTCATCACTCTCTTACACCGAGAATAAGCAGATTGTATAACGAATGTGTCCTTAAAGATAAGACTATTGACTTATTTAGCGATAGTATACAATCTTTTAGAGCCAAAATTGTCAATCTATTTAATAGCCCATAGTAAAAATTATACCATAACTTTATATAAACTCGATATAAATGTTGTTATTTTTTTTTATAGGATAGGGTGACAAACGAGCACACAGTCCACCTGATGGTAAGTGGTTGCTGTGGCCCATAGACATCCACATCTATCCTCGATTACGAATCAATATGCAGATGCGTTGTCACCCGTGAGGACTAAGATGGAATGCCTCGTTTCCAGTAAAAAGGGTCTCCGGTTCTCTACACTCACCATACGAAACACAGCACCAATATGCTGCTATTTTACGCTAGTATTCTGTGAGAGCGTGGTCCTTCCCCGGTCGAGCCGACCCATTGTTATGTTTATATATTTTTCATTTTCATATATTTCTTATGATTATTGTTTTTGTTTGTTTTATATTAGTATTTTACTCGTACTTGTAACAATTATTAAGTTATCGTACAGTTATCGTCTTTTTTAAACATGCTGTAACTACTTTTAAATGGAAACATGTAAATCTTAGTTCCTAAGCCTATTGTCACATTTTTTTTTCAAAACAACATGTTATTCCGTTGGTGGTTCTATCAATAAAATGAAAAAAATTACGTGGTAGGATACCTTTCTGACTGGGACTCCGTCTAGGTAGGAACAAACCTATTTCTGTTGCTAAAGCATTGCATATAATTAGAAGCTGAGAGGCAGTCCACCTTAGTCCTCGAAAGTTGAAAGTTGGTTGCAGGTGTATATGGGCTGCAGGGACTTGTCAACAGGTGGACTTAAATTTAATTAAAAATATCCTGTCGTGATGGACAGGATTTTTATTTGAAATAAATTTTCAATTAAGTATAATAAAATATAATGTCCTCGAGACCATGTTTCGGTCACGGAAACTAGCCATCTGTGTTTTATCTTTGAGTCGCGTAAAGCACGTAAAACCTTTGATCCTAAGCCCGATCTCTCTTTTGTGGTATTGGAGTAGCGGCCCATCGTCGGACTTTGATTGTAAGGAAACAGATTCACACACTCGTCTAATATATTCCCATCGTGTGTAGATGACTAGTCTCCGTGGAGACAGACCGCTGTGACCTAAGTTCGGTCTAAAGGATAATATATTAATAAAATTTATATAATATATATATCGCCTCCACGATACATTCGAAATTTGGTTTTGTTTTTTAAATATTATCTTTTATTTTCTGCTTAATATATTTATTTGACAAAAGTTATATTATATTGAAATAAAGTTATTTATGATTATTTATTCATACCTAAAGGTCCCAGTCTGTAGTTAATCGTGACCACAACCATATCCCGGTCCATCAAATATGTAGCATTGTAGTTTGCCCCGGATCCATACATGAACGCTCCTCCATGAATGTACACAAACACTGGCAGTAGAGCGTCGGTGCTGAGCTTCGGAGTGTCGACGTTCACGTACAAACAGTTTTCGCTACCTGTAAGATTTTTTATTCCTTCATTCAACACATCAAAAGTCCATAGCTTGTGAATAGGGGGGGGATATTTACCATTGCTACTACGCCTGGCAGAAGGGTGGGCAACCGCAGTTTTTTTTTATTTAGTTGTTATCAGGGAGATGCTGCTGCCTCTTACACCACCCACGGTGTTATATACCGTAACCGTCACAGCTTAATAAAGTCCACTGCTGAACACAGGCCTCCCCCATAGATTGTTTCATATGGGGGTTATTTGCCATAATTGCCACGCATGGCAAACTCCTGATTTGTTCTCTCTGTCTCCTCTTACGACACCCACGGAGTGATCAGGGATATTCTTACATTGCCATTATACGGTCAGTCGTTAAAGCAAGATGTTATATGGGGTAATGAATTACCTTATATGATATATATATATATATATATATATATATATAATCATAAGAAATTAACTTTGGCTTCTCAGTATATTTACGAAATCTTAATGTATGTTAATAAAACAAACGTAGTTTTAGTAAAATAGTAATATAAAATCTGTAAACACTAGGAACAAACACAAGCTGATACGAGTTTCTCGACTCCACAGAGTCAGTAATTCATTCTTTGGGCAATGTATATAGGGTTATTATAACATAAATGGGAACACGGTTGATAATATAACGGTGATAATAACCGCTAGGAATGAAGTGGTCGCTTCCAAGCTGTTTCTAAAGTAAATTTTGTAAGCGTTCACATTGTGAAATTTATTTAAAAGAAAGTCTCGCTGGGTTTCTTCTTGATTCTTCCCTGGACAAAGGTTTTTTTTCCAAACCAGTGGTAAAGTAAAAAATTACTTTCAATAAGAATTACATATTATCTATATCGAATAAAAAAAAATTCTATTCTATTCTCAAGCCACCACTCCATGCCTAAAAAGAAGCTTTATGAAGTTATTATTAACCTAATAGATCATAGGACTTCTTTGCCTAGGAGTCTGTTTGTGTAGGTATCGCTTTTTTACCTACTTCTGTCGACAAATAGCAGTGCTTGGACTGCTGTCTTTCGGTTTCAAGGGTAAAGGGAACCAGTAAAATTACAGACAGAGATATTCCATCTTAGTCCTTCATTCTTCTTTGTCTTAGTCAGTCTTCAGCCGTCATTTGGTTGCAGGTCTCAAGGAGCTGCAGGCATGTCCCTTCAGTTTTGTAAAAGAAAACCTTTACCATTTTAAAATTTTCCTCGAAGCAGATTTCAGTATAAGCATAATTAAGTATTAGTTCGCTAATACGTTTCAGTATTTTCTTAAAATTACAACTCTCTTAAGAGGGTACAATTATCCTTAGTTGGTTTTTTATTTAATAATTATGCTTCAATTTACTTTTTTCATTACCTAAATAAACATTGAATTAAACTTACCCAAAATTTGCTTCCTAATTGGGTCGTATTGCAGACATTCAGACAGATATTTACTGGCGTCCCACACTCCTAACCATGGTTTCGGCTGTTGTGGTTCCTAAAATAGAATAGAATTATAAGACTTTAATCTTTTACTCGTCGTAAATAGCAATTATTTATTTTAAATATGACTTTCTTTTGTAACAAAATAGTGCGAAATGCTAGAAAGACTATATACGTAGCTTTAGGGTACTGTAATATCGTTTACGCTGTCTGTCTGTATATTAGTGCCTCGCTTTTTTAACTAACAAATTCAATATTACGATCTGCGTTGCGAGCTGCGGTTTCATGCTATCAAACTTGAAAATATTCGTTATCTAAAAAATCTATAAACTATGAACTTTATGTAAAAGACCAACAGAGCTTACGATTGAGTACAAAACATTAACTGCCATGGCAAAAATAAAGCTATTTTTGACCTAAACAGCAGTATCTGAGTTGCTTTGTTACAGTTTCAAGGGTTCGTGGTCCAGGCTGAGATGCATTCCATCTTAGTTCTCACCAGTGACAACGCAATTATAGACTATCTCTGAAGTTTTTGCAGATGTCCATGCGCTGCAGTAGCTTCTTATCAACACGTGTACTGACACTTATATTATATAATAAGTATCCACTTTCACATAGAAAGTCTCGTAGCCGAATCAGCAAAACTTTTTAGAGATTTTATTTATGTTTGTGAAATAGTTAAAATAAACTAGCTGCTCCAATGTTTGTGTAAGCGGTTTATCCGTTTAGGTAGTCATTATGTTTTAGTAGTTGAAAAATAAAAGTTTCCCTTGCGTTCACATCTGCTCTGCTTGTTTTTCTATTTAAAGTTCTAATGTATTTTGGGGTAAATAAACACACAATCACAGGAATGTAAGTTAATGTGCTGTGGTTGGACACATGCATTTGTCATCGATTAGGAATCAAAATGCAGATATGTTGTTACCCCTAAGCATAATGGAATGACTCGGTACCAATTAAAAAGGTTTCGATTCTCCACACTCACCGTAGAACACAACCAAAATGTGTTGCTCTTTTACGCTGGTATTATGGGGGGGCTTTGTTCTTCCCTGGTCGAGCCGGTCCATTCGTACTACAACCTAGCATTGATTCATTAAATATTACCTATGAAAGGTTCACAGCTGAATGTAGGTCCCTCCCATAGACTGTTTTATCCCCTATAAATTTTGTCTTAGTTGTCGCGTTCAGCAGTTGGGTTGGTGAACGAATTTTTCTTTTTTTTTTAGTTATTATCTTGATAATGCTGCTGCCCATCTCCTTCTTCACCGGCTTCAAAACATGAAATAATTTTATTGTTTTCAGTTCTTTAATGTCGGCTTTAACTTTATTATTAACAGTTAATTTTTAGCGAAAAGTATTCAGTAAGAGCTACTTTTCAGTATTTCACTAGATATTTTCAGGTAATTTATAGACAGGGAGCTTCTAGTCAGGAGTCTAGGAGAGTCAATGACACCACACTCATTTATTCTATACGAAGTAGTGAGAAGTTTATAATATAGCTCAACCTAAAGAAAAAGAAAGACGGAAATTTCGGTATTTATTAGTAGTATCATTTACTATATACGTGGTAGAGCCACGCTGCAACTTTATTATAGTTGTAGCTCGAATGGGTCGGCTCGACCGGGGAAGGACCACGCTCTCAGAGAATACTAGCGTAAAATAGCAGCACAGCTGTGTGTCGTATAGCTATTATAGAGAACCGGAGAGCCGTTTTACTGGAATTGAGGCATTCTATCTTATGCATTTTGATTCTTAATCGAGGTTAAATGTAGATGTCTATGGACCACAGCATCCAATTACAGGTAAGATGGACTGTGAGCTCGTTTTTCACCCTTGTTCTATTAAAAAAAATTGTGATCTGAACATTACGCAAGTACATTTCAAGTTTTCAAGTACGCGAAAACCGTGGTGCTCAATTTATTATAAATTAATTACACTCACAATAATCATGACTGCAGTTCCTGCAAAGACCACTAAATACATTTTTATAAGCACATAGTGACGAAAAAATTACAATCACGTCTTCTGGTGATGTTAAGACAATAATATGAAAATAATAGCACGTATAATTACAGAATCTAAGGTATTCCATTTTACTCCTCGGAGGTGACCATGTCCGTGGACTGCGTCACAACCACTTACCGTCAGGTGGACAATAAGTTGTTTGTCACTTCTATTTTATAAAAAAAGGACCGCAAACAAAACTACAATGCATTAACTTTTTCATCACTACATTTAAGAAATATTATCTTTTGTTTATATTAATTTATGTTTTAAAATTAACAGATTTTTCTGAACAAAACCCTTTGTTACGTTTGCTAAAAATTTAATTTGAAATTACTGCGGACTAAAATAATATTTGAGTAATATTTCTTTGCCTTTTTTCCATTAGTTTGCTTCTTCTTCGTGTTAATGGTAATTGAATCATAAGTTTTCATTAAGTTACTGTTTTTAAGTTACTTTCACGTTAAAATTAACAGCTCTGCTTGGCTCCAGCCTCATCTCATTCGTGAGAGGGTTATGGAGCATTTAATCCGACTCGCTGCTCTATTGTGTGTTAGCAGACTTCGCATTGTCTCAAAATATATTAGTGCTCAGACATGTAGGTTTCGTGACAATTTCATTGGTGTTGGCGGGTATCGAACCTGAGTGCTGTACAAATTACGACACCTATTGACACAATTATCACAACAATTAACACGTTACAACGCGTTATGGCTAATGTATGGGTTATCTAAAAAGAGGCAGAACTACGCTCGCATAGAATACTAGCTTGAAATAACAGCATAATGCTGCAGTGTTTTATAGTGACATAGCTCATAGTTCGTAGTGAGTGTAGTTCTCATCACTATGAATATGCACCGTCACCATCCCGTGGGACCGTAAGAGGCGACAGAAGGGAACAAACAAGGAGATGGGCAGGCGGCCAGTTTTCCTAATATGTAACTGCAAAAAAGCCCTATTAGTTGTGACAACTATGGCAATCTATAGGGGAGGCCTGCGTTCAGCGGTGAGCTTTCAATAAGCTGTAACGGACTCATAGTGATGAGAACTGGAGATTCCCTTTTACTGATAACGGGGAATTTCATCTTAGCCCCCCCCCCCCCCCCGTATTATGTACGTGGTAGAGCCATGCTACAGCTATATTAACAGTATAGATGTAGCACGAATGGGTCGGCTCCACCGGGGAGGAACCACACTCTCACAGTATACCATGCTGCTTTTTTACCATGCGCTGAATATTCGATACCGTTGATAAGCCCGCGCCGGCTTCTCGAGCGAATTGAGATAATGAACCAAACTTCAATAAAAAATATATTTTATTTATTTGGACAGAGTTACAGTAATAAGTGTATTACTACAATATTCGAAATTAACAGATTACAATTGTCTATTTATACTTAAATTATACGCAAGAAAACTATTTACTAAGCTTATTCACTGCATACGCTTGACCCAGATGGGATTACTGATGATGTGCGAACGAATGAGATTTGGCCGGGGTGCTCAGCCTTAACTCCTCCCCCCTCAAGAGAGAAATTATCCGAAGGTGGCTCAAGCGACTTCAGAGAATTTCGATAACATAATTTGAATTTAAAAATGGTAAATACTATACAGATTACTATAATGAGATATAAACTTATGGGCCATACACTGATTTCACTTGTTACTAAGAATTTTGTATTTATTTCGTTCGTTCTTTCCGCGACTTCGTACGCGGATGATGTTGCTTATGCCAGCGACAACAGGGTCGTCAAAATCGAAGATCTGAAACGTCTGATGTCGAATTCTAAGAGCCCGGGGACGGGAAAACAACGTGATGCGCGAGACGATTCGAGACGTTCCACTTTTGTAAATCAACAGAAAATGCCCATCAGACTAAACAAATTTTGCTAAGACGTCATTCCTATATATGTTATAATATCGCTGGGCTTTGGAGTTCCACAACAGGTGTTCCAGATAATCAAATTTATTCTCACAACAGAAAATACTCTTCACGTGGAATATTGTCTGTTATGGCTCCATTTTTATATCTCTTATACTTTAGCTGGTCTGTTGCGGTTCTGCATCAGGTGTTCCATTTTCCAAAATAAATTATAGCCTATACTTAACACCTATACAACAAGTGCAAGTGCGGAATGCACCGGATCTCAAGAGTACACTGAATTAACAATAATATTGCAAATCACTTTAAAGAAAATTCTTTATAAACTATAGTTGTACTCTTGGCTTTGCTCACGTTCTCGGTCACGCGCAAGTCGTATCTCACGCTCCTGACTGCTCTCATGTGATCGGACAGTCTCAGAGCAGATATTCTGAAGACTCAACTTCTGATCCCTCCGTGTTACCGTTTTGGATGCGCGAGACAAAGATACAAATAGAAACGACAAAAATTCACCTCCCCCCCCCGGGGGAACAACCCCCCCAAAAAAAAAACACCAAAAAAAAAAAAAAAAATGACGATCCCGGTCGATATTTAAACGCATTTCTCGTTGTTTCACAATTTCCTGAGATCGAGAAGCAGTAGTGCGGACTCGTTAAAATTTTGGTCGTAATTGGCGCTGCGTGCGGTGAAACCTAGCTGTTGTTCACGCTTTGCGTGGGTTCGAAAGAAACTACTGCTACTACTAACTAATCTGCGCATCTTAGAAACCCTTGAGTTTCGAGACAGATTTGATCTTTTTCTAAAAGGCATAGCTAAAATTCCTTCTTAGTCCGATACTAGTGATATTCAAAACAATGAAAAGTAATCGTATAAGTACGTAAGAATTGCTAGTAAGTAGAAAAATAATTATTATTCGCAGGAAAATTAAACACATCAACCAACACAGACAACAAAGGTAACCCCCGTTTATAAAGGATGAGAGTGGCCCATCGGCACCTACATCACTTTTTGGGAACGAAACCATAGTGCGATCTAACTCGACGCCAACGCCATCTAGTTAGAAAACGGAAACTACATATTATTTACCCAAATGAATTAATTAAGTTATGAATTAAAACTAAATTGTCGTTAATTTAATAGACGAGTACATTATTTTTGCATTAAAA